TTCAAGCTGGGAAAAAGAAAAAAATCCCGGAACAACAATGTATCGTAATAAACAATCGGACGCTCCAAACAACGTGTTAGCGCAATATTATCAGCAAAGTATAATTGTTGCTCTTGAAAGAGAGAGAAAAAAAAAAAAAAGAAACCTTAGATTTTTTAACGCTACAACTTATCACAGTCACGTATATACAAACAATAAAAATGTACGATGCCACGTAACAAGAAGTCGGAAGCTCCATCGGTGCGGAAAAGATAAAAGTATAATTGTTGACTCGTTGTTTAAAAAGAATCGCGTTGAAATGGTAATCAACACTTTGCGCGCAAAATTGCACTGCACGGCAAATTATGATTAATTGCGCACATCGTACATGGTAAGCAACAACGAATTATCTGCTTACATGACGGGGAATTAAAAAAACAAATGAAAAAAAAGGGGAAAACCAACGAAGCATTTCGCGTAAAATGTATTGTAATCGTTCGGACACACTTTTCCGAACCTCTTTCGCGAGAAAAAAAAGGGGGCTACAGCGCATAAAAAAAGGGTCGTTCGTTATATAATTACTCGCGAGCTCGTTCATTTGTTCATTTGCTTTTGCTCAAAGTACACTAGGTAAAGAAAAAGAGGCATTTTCCTTCGCCACGTTCCAAAGCAACGGTGATGGACTGTAGAAATCGTTGGCGAGGCAATTTTCGTTCTCTCATGGTTCCATGATGGTAAGTATAGGCCGGAGAGGAGGAAGAGAAAGAGAGATTCTTCAGCGAAGTATACGCGCGGAAACAGTCAAGAGGTACTTATTGTACCTGTAGCCGTGGTTTCGCTCGGGAGAAAAATGAAGGTAGGCGTCATGCAACGCCTCCACGCGTATACATAAAAAGTTGCGGGGGTCGAAGATGTGGTGGAGATGGCTTATCCAACGATACGGAATTTGGGTGGAAAAAAAAAGAGTCAGTTGTCTGCGAATCATTCTGATTTTCCACTTGGCTTCCGAAATGCCGTGTGCTCGTGGACGGAGGGAAATGGAAACTGACAAGGCGATGATTGTAACCGTACTGTACGAGGGAGGAGGGGGAAGAGGATATGTTGTAAGCACACGGGTGTGTATATATTTAAAAGTATAACTATGATACGGGACACAAAACACATTTAGTGCATTTACATGTGAATGGTCGCGTGTCAATATTGGGTTTAGAGCTTAGGAATACCTATGTTACACCACCTGGCAAACTAAGAGAGAAAGGTGTCAAATCACATGATATAGGTTTATTCATGTTAAACAGGTGGGTGTAAGGAAAAAAAAATGTTTTTTTCAAACGTACATTGTCACTGTTGGGATTGTATCTTTCGAGCGATAGTTCCAAAAATTGTACACCCTCCTCCCTGGGAGACCCCGGGAAATGAAACGAGATGCCCCTAAAAGGGAATACCTATTACCAAACTGGCCTAGTTCTCAGGGGCTGGGAGTCTATATCACGGACGGCCTAACAACAAAAGGGCGAGCTGCAATCAGTCGAGCTGATCGATAGTCCCGAGCATCGTCGGGTGACTCGCTGTCTCTCGTGCATCACGTGAAATTCGGAGCACAACGCCAACGCCGATTTCTTTCCCCACCACCCTACCTATTTTATTTACTTTTCGTTTCCACCCCCCCCCCCTGGCTATTGTACAACGACTCGTGCAACGTTTTTTTTTTCCAAATTAACACCCGCGGTAGTTTTATCATCATTTATATTTTTGTAAATCAACTCGAGCCAAGTATAGCGTGGACTCTTTTCTTTCGCTCGACTGTCCGTTCGAATATGCGCGAGCGAGTAAAGCGAGAGAGATGGACGAGCGTGTGCGTATACGACGAGAAAGCGCGCAGAAGTATATATGTAGGTTAGACAATGGCGAACGCGATGAAGGAAAGACAGAGCGCGCGTGTGCCTCTCTTTTTCTCTCGCGCGGAAAACGAGTCGATGATTAGGCCGCGGCATGGGCGCCCAATGGGGTGCAGTGCATGTGCTCCTTTCTTTCGACTCACGTGCGGTGTGTGCTTCAATCGTTTTTTCCTTTTTTTTTTTTTCTACTTTATCATGTGTCTTCCGTTATCTCGACTTTGCTCTAGGTCGCCGTGTCTTTTATCACTCGTACGTGTGTATCGTAACGTGGATTATTGGTATCGGTACGAGAGGGACATTTATTTTTCCTTTTCTTGGGGGAAGTTTAATTGATGCGTTTCATCCATGTATCCGTGGCAAAAAGTTTTCTTTTTTTTTTTTTTTTGTTTCCTCGTTCAAAATCAATATCAAGAGTAAAATAACTAAAACATATGGTATACGGTTCAACACATGCGGAAAAATAAAATTCATACGCTTTGTTTTGGTGCTTTTCAAAAATCGGAATAGCTCCGAAAATGCAATTTATAAACCGTTGAAGGAAATTGATAAAAAGAGGCGATTTTCGACGGAATTTCTAAAAAAAAAAAAATGCCCAAGCAAAAGTATCTGAAAACGCACCCCGACCCGTATACGTTAGAGCAAAGCAAAAAATGTGTCTTATACACCGTTGCGAACAATATCAAGCCGTGTGTGTAAAGCACAATTGACACGGTGGAAAGCGCGTTAATCAGAGGGATAAAATGACAAGTGAGTGCGGGTGAGTTGGAGAGAAAAACAAAAGAAAATGGGGGAGCTGGAGGAGGAAGCGTAGAAAAAACGCCGGCCAGAGAGAGAGAGATTGTTGCCGACGTGCCTGCACCACGAGCACCGAAGTGGCACTTTTCTTTTTCCGCTCAGCCAGCTGATAGATAGAAAGCTCGCGAGAGCAAGAGGAAGAAAAAGTAAGAGAGAAACGTCGTCGTTGTCGTAGTTGCGACCGCAGTAGGTCGAAATGAGAGGTGAGCGAGCACAAGTGGAAAAGACGAAATGTAAAACGAGAGAGTCCCGTCTTTGGGCCGCATCTTGTTCACATGGCCTGTATATACTTATCGCGCAATGCTCTCTTTTTCCTTCCCCCCCCCCCCGACTACTGGAACTTTTGATGACGTATACTTTTTTCCCCTCTCTCTCTCTCTCGTGTGGGTGTACAACCTACACACACGTGAAAATTAATACTCCTCCACCATCCGTATTCTCGCGTCTACTCGACTATTTTCACGGCTCGAAAACCTCAAACGCGTAACGAGACGCATTTTAAACGCGCTTGTTCCAACCGAGCATTAGAGTACGCTTAATTATCAACGCGCTGATTCTTCTTCTTGTCCGTGCGCATGCAGTGCCTGGGAGAAATCTGTCGCGGTGGTGTATCGCATACACATCTCAGAAAGTGAAGATAGCGACACTTTCTGGTTGGGGGGGGGGGGGGAGAAAGCGCTCTACTGGTTTAAATTCGTCGCGGGAAGGAAAAAAGCTCCTTTTCTTATAGCTTTTAATGCTACATTCAGCAAACATCAATGTACACATGAGTAAATCCGCAAAAAATATTCCACTTTTGTCACCGTTTTTTAGTACCCTTAAAACCAGGCGTTCACGGCTTTTCTCTAACAGAACAGTTCTTGACTTTGCGAGCAAAATGAGCCCGGTTTCAAGGGTGAGCTTAAAAAAAAATTTTTTTTTAATGAAAATCAGGGACAAATTCGAGATATTTTCTGCGGACTCCCTCATATATTACATCTGGATACATAATATTATACCGGTAATGAGATTATAACGATCTCGTACACGTGTAAGCATTGTATTTTTGTATACTATTACCATTATATTATCATTAGGATGCACTTACTGTTCCACCATCGCGGGAAATAGATCGAAGAGCGAGTAAAAACACAGCGAAATGGATGAATGAATAAGCGAACGAGCAAAAAAAAAAAAAAAAAAAAAATGTTAATGAGCGAGCCGGATGTAAGTATAGTGCGACAGGCTTGCTTACACTTATAGGTTGGCGCCGAGGAAAAATTAAATCGCACCATGCCAGTGCAGTGATTCATTGTTATATATACACGTATCTCATATATGTGCATTCACACAACAGACACTGCAACTTTTATACGTATACACCAACCCTATATAATATACACATGTGATATACATCTTGCGCGAATCTCTTTCTCCCGCACCGTATGTTTGCCTCAACACATTTAATGTATACATATATATATGTATATAGCATGCCACCGTGGAAGAGATAAGATGGTATATACACATATTCATAAGTACAGTGTACATACCTAATAAGTAGGTGCGCAAGGAGAAGAAGATGTACGTATGTATATTATATTGTACAGGTGAGTTGGGAAAAAAAGACGAAAGGGAAAGCTTTCTCTCTGTCCCGCATTCGGAATGTATATACCTGTTTGTACGTAATATTGTATACACCAGAGGAGAGAGGCAGATGAGCCCAAGAGTTGGATTTTTTTACGGATACAGCTAAGTAGGTACCTATCGGGCTGTATATATATATATTATACGGTTGCGGTTTACAACGTCGGCACGACGGCCTTACGTATTATACGACTCCGAAATAAATCAGTACGCGGAAGAGAGAATATATTTGTATATACGTATTTAAGGGTCCACTAAAAACGTGTATAGGTACCTATATACATGAAACTTAAACGCGTGGCGTGGATTGATTAGAAGTATGTAAGCTACGAATATTATAGGGAGAAAAAGAGGGATAGAGAGAGAGAGAGAGAGAGAGACGTGTTCACACTGCACACACGCACGCATTGCATACTACACGTTCTTTCTCTCATTTCTCTTTTTGCTGTGATTCTTTTCTCCCCTAAACCTTATACCTATACCTACCTCTCTCTTAAATGCCTCGAATGTAAGTACTATTCATACGGGAACAGACGGTACGAAAAAAAATAAAAGAAAGGCGCAAAGAGGAGTAATTATTATTATTTTTTTTTTTTTTTTGTACGTACGTAAAAAAATGAGAGAAAGAAAGGTAAAAAAAAAAAAAAAGAGCAAATGCTCATGCCAGCAGGTTGTTGTGTGTGAAGCGAAGGGGTTACGAACCACTTTAGGAAGATCCGGGACTCCGTTTTTCGTGGCAGATGTGCAAACGGTCCAACAGTCGGTTAGTAGCAGTTGCAGGGACTACGACACTTGTTTTACTCATCACCCGTAGTTTAGCACATTATGCGCTTATTTTAACAATATTTATCCACTCCTTGGGGAGGATGTTGAGCCTCCAGCGCACACGTATTGTACACACGGAACATCACGTAGCCGAACCCGAGCAAGGCTGTACTTCCATGTGTTGTTAGCGTGACGCGCGTGACGTGTGACTCCGAAATTGTTATTACCGTTAAAAATAAAGTGACCATTTAATCGGCCAAGGGACGAATTTTGACGAAGCACCACGTAGGCTGTCTGACGTGCAGGGCCATCGTTCGCGCGAGCTCGCCGACGTATGCGCGAGCACTCGGCCCGAAGCCCCCTTTTTTCACTCGATCTGCACCGTATGGCTCGTAGGGCACTTTTCGTCGAGAATATCTCACCATCTCACGGCGCGGGGCAGAACGAGCAAGTCGCTAACGATTCTACAATGCGACCCGTGCAAAGCGACTAATTCAACAGAGGAGCAATACTACGAGGAAGTAACGTATTGTCTTACCAAAAGTAGTAAAATAATAATTTATATGAAATAGTATTTCAAAACTGTGTGGCAATATTACTTATAATTAATACAAAGAAATTTGATAAGGAAAATGTGTGTGACCATTTGCTTGTGCATGCAGATAACAAAATAATTATTGATATCGATCGATAAAAAAAATTTTTTTTTTAATTTTCCTGATAACCATGCACAGTTTAAAACAAAAAAAGCTAAGTAACGGCTTCAAAAAATAATGCGTTGTTTATTTAAGCTTATTTGTGATGATAAATTTTTCGACTTGTGTATACTTTGTCTTTTTATGTTTCTTTTTATGTTAAAAGTTATATACATTTAGATTTAACTGGTCAAATAGTTGATGTAGGATTTAATTGCTTATTAACGCAATCCTGATTTAATTTATAAATTTGTGGAAGACTACTTAACATATTTCAATTTATAATGTATTTATAAAAATAATCGATGACAGGATGAGAATAATATAAATATAAATTAATAACTCCTTTTATTATTGGTATCAAATAAGCAGAAATAGTTGTAACTTCTGAGCAGTTCTTTGCTACCTTTTATACCAACTGATGGACTGCAAGAAAAACGGCATCAGTGTACGTAGGGATCTACTTTTTGTTATGAAAAATGTCTCAACAAATTTAACATTTTTATTATTAATATTATGGGAATTTTTATCTTTTAGATTAAAAAATTTTCTAAAATAATTTATACAAATAGAGTTTACTTATTAAATTTATAATGACCCCCGTAAGTGTGTAACTTAAGTATTTATGTATTCTCTTTTGTACTTATCATTTTAATTTTATTAAATAAATTTTTTTTAAACTATTTTTAAAGTTTCCTCGTTGATTAAATTTTTTTATTAAAAAAAATTTGTTAAAAAATAAGAGATAATGGCATGCAATATATAAGAAAGGTAATAAAACTCACTAAACAATATATTTTTTTAGAAGTTTTATTCTATTTATATATTTTGCTAATTGTTTTAATGATTGTTCACAATTTATTGTGAAATTAACGATGATTTCTTTTCTTCTAATTACACGTATGTTTATCATCACGTAACAGCTATATTAAGTAACTATAGATTTTTTCTTTTTTTTCCAAGTCCCTTTACAAAACTTGTCTTACTTTATTTAAATTGACTTTTTAATATAAATTTCAAAATTTTTGTTAATTTAAAACTTTAACTGATGATATTACAATTTTATATATTCTTTTGTATGCCATATTTGGTAGAATAATAAATTATTTATTGTTGCACGTATTGAAAAAATTTTCTAAAACTTGATGCCCATATCAATATACGTGGTTATCTATACAATGTTTCCTGTTTCGTTTAATTCCGTTGTCAAATACCTCTTCTGTTGCTGAAGAGTATATAAATTTATATGAATGCGCATGCGAACTTTTGATTACTTTTTTTAATATGCAGTTGTTCATTAAAAGTTTGATGAAGCTCCTGAAACATTATCAATAGCATACAAAAATTTAATAAAACGTCATTCCGAAGTGAATTAAATTAATTTTCCTGATTTTTTGTGCGACAGCGTTTCATTAAAAAATAGTTGGTCGATTTAATTTTATAAGATTGCCGTTCTGTACTATACTCATGAATGTTTTTTCATTACACATATGAATTTATAAAGTCCAATAGTTTATTGTAAATGCTTATCAAATTGATTCCACTTACATAATATGTTCTCATTGAAAATTTTTTGGTTTTTTAATAATCAATTGATGAAAATATTACTCAATCATAAACTCATAGAAAATTACATATGTTATTTAAGAAAAAGACATCTCATTGTAAGGCACATTTATAGGAGATTAATAAAATTATTATAAAAGCAACAAATATTTTTTATTTCATAAGCGTTCGTAATAATGTGTAGTTTTAATTTATTGAAATTAAATTAAAAAAATAAAAATCAATTGATCGATAGTAAAAGCATATCAACCTCAAAAATGTTTACTTCATCAACTGCTATATAATAGTCATTAACATTAAAATTGTATAACAAATATTACAGTCGATAGATATCGAATATAACGAGAATTAATTTCGGCTGACAATCTCTAATCAATAAAAAACAACTCTACGGCTTTTTTATCGAAATTCTCATGAATTTCAAAACATCTTTCACTAACTACTGATAGTCAATAATTGGGCCCGTAAGGTGTCTTTTTTTTTTTTTTTTTTTTTACTTCACGTAAAATACATGGCAATGTTTTTACATGTGTGTAGATTCACAAAAATTTTGAGCTTCATTTATGTTTATCTCGCTTATTAACCAAGCTTTTTTTACTCTACGGTTATTTTTTTACAACGCTGCTGTTATTAAAGTAAAAACTCTTTGCTCTCTTGCACTTACGATTTTTTTGCTCCACGTAAAATATATTTCACTTTTGGAATCATAAAAAAGTCTCTTGTATATATATCAAAGAGATGCGACTTTTGCCTGGGCATTCGTATTTATTTTAATGAGATTTCAAAAATCCTTTGCATCTTGGCTAATCGGAGCAGTTTATTGAACAAATTTTAAATAAATGTCAATTTGGATTTTTGTCAATGCAAATACATAGATGTAAAATTTGTCACTTCAATCGAATATTTCGTGCAGTTGTTAACGAGCATATTTATTCCAAACAAAAATTCAAATGATTTTAATTTTGGTACTTAATTGATTGCCAAAATTATTTGGTAAAAAAGCTATTTTATAGAGGTTCAAGTTATCTTTGAAATATCGGAATGATTTGTAAATGAGATATCGTGGAATATATTTCATTAAATAATGTACAGACTTCGATATTTTAGGTACAGAAATATGATACAATTAGAAACGCACAAACAAGGAAAAATTGAACAATGTAATTTCTTATGAAAAATCTCGGATAAATACACACACATTATTTATAAAATTTATAGCAAATACAAATCTAATGGTAAGTCTTTTTTTTAATTTGTTTATTTATTTATCTTTATTTTTAAATATTTAATAACGTGCGTAGAATTCTTCGAAGTCATTGAAATCGGTGCTTTGGTAAACGAGCGTCGATGAACTCGAGTGAACTGTGCGGTGTTTTATTTTTTTATTTTTTTCGATACCTTAGTGCTTAAATCAATAAAATTTTAATACGAGGAGTCCAGCTCCAACGAGAATGGCAGCCTTAACGTAATTCTTTTTTTTTTCTCTCTATTATCTATAAGATCGCTTTTGCGTGAATAGGATATATAATTTTAATCGAACGACAATGCTATACGGAATAGATGATCGACATTGAAACATGTCCCTAATCGGTTGCGAAAAATCACACCGTTGATATTTTATTCAAATACATGAAAACAAAAAATGAGAACTGTATGTACAAAAAAAAATTTTCGACGAGGTTATCGAGTGGTCCAAGAATATTGCCCAATAAAGTACTCTTCGTTGAAACGTTTGCTCACGTACATCGGCATTTTGCGTTGCAATCAAACACTTTAAATAGTTTTGTTTTTTTCAAATGTACACCCATTTGTGTGCGTTCATCGTATATATGCCATCACATCGAACAAAATAACTTATAGTCACACACAATGTATACTCTCGCACGCGTGCGCGAATCTTAAGAGATCCAAACTCTTATTTTTGTGCGCACCACTTACTTATACAGACGTGCTAATTAAAGTCAGCTCGTGACTTTTGGTTTGTTGTACCTGTACACGTAACGGTACAGAGAGAAAAAAAGCCTCTCAATCAAGATTAATCAGTTGGCACACGAATCGAGTAACAAGTAGAGAGTGGTATGTTACAACTAATCGAAGGTATACGGATACCGTATAGAGCCTTGATCTTTTTTTCTTTTTTTCTTCCACGCTCTGTTTTATATTATGTACATTCGCACGCATACTCGTGAAAATAAGTTTTAATCCACTGTCTCAAGTATTAAAACTGTTGTTTTAGTTTAACGTAATATTTAATTAAAATCAATTGCATATCTATGTTCTCATAAAAAAACATTGTCTTAGTTTAAACAAAGGAATTTTTATTTTTACTAAAAAATTAATTGAAATACTTTTACGTATAGCGATGACGATTAAAGTTTAATTGCTCTCTATGATCCGCTATACATTATCGATTGGAATATTGTGCTTATCTCATTTTTCATCTCATTATTATTGCGGTAATCGTTGTACCATTCACTCAAAACTAAACATGTACAGGTGATCACACAAAGAATATTCATCAGTAAAACAAAATTTCGAGTGTGTAAGATTATATATAAGGTAGCAAAGCAATAACCAATTGCCCAAATCGTTTCGAGGATCACAATTACCATTCAACTATTATTTGTTCTTTTCAGACACGTATATCAATTTACTGTACGTCATTTTCGGTTGGGAAATAAAAAACAAAGTCCTTAAAAATTAATAAAAAAACAAATTCAGAATAGCTTTCAAACTCATTCAAGTTGATTTATACATATATTTTATACACAAAATGTACACGATGTCACGATACGATTGACACGTAAAAACTCAAAGTATCGAAAAAACGATATAAAATGATATCTTATATAGTACAATATCTGCCCAACAATAGCGGTATGTATAGGTATTTATTGGTTTCAATGACTTATTCTACACCAAAATCCAGGGTACTCGAGTCCGTGTGATTTTTAGCCTTTTTTTCTACAGTCTACGACACGCTTTGCAAAGTAACCCACGATAATTACAAAAATCCGCTGCTTTTCTACACACTGGTGGTGATCTGTTCGATGACGGTGACATCTCGACACCTCCTCGGAGTCCTCGCTCTCTGCTGCTGCTGGTGGTACTGCAGAAACTCCGGGTGCTGCGTGAACTCCGGACAATGTTGCTGCTGTTGTTGGGAAAAATCCCGATGGGGAGGGTAGAGCTGGTGGTGATGATCGTGATCGTGATCGGGAAAGGCGAGGCCCTCGGGCACACTTTTGCTCGGCCTCAACGGGCCCTGGGGCGGTAGGTAACCTCTGCAGCTTCCACCTGGTACTGTTGAATGACGATTTTTTACAATACGCCCGAAGTCACTTGTGGTGACCACAACGAAGGAGATGGGTATGATAAAAAAAAAAGTGCGGAATCCGCTATTTTTTTTTTTTTTTTTTTTTTATATATATAATGTATTTACCAACAAAGGAGGGAGCCGAATGGACTTATTTTGCCAATGTTTTTTTTTTAAACCAATGGCAGTGCTTTGGAAAAATACTACGATTGCCGAAAGCAAAATTAATTGAATGAAAAATAATAATGATCATTGCGATGAAAAATTTACATATTTGTTGTAATTCTTGGCGCGAGAAAATTTGATGAATGTTGGCGTGAATCAGTGAACTCGAGGAGTCAGCTCGAAATCGTCCCCGTAATTTTTAATTTGGCAATTATTTTCACATCACCCGCGAAGCTCTTATCACGCGGTTTTCCGATTTCCAATAATGCTGGAAAAAAGACGTGATTTTTCGAAAAAAATTCCGTAACCAAAGAAAGTGGGTCAATCGAGTTTCCGAGCTCTTATTTCCAGCAGAACGCTATTGATATGCAGACTAATTGGCCGAAACGTACAATTTTCGGGGATGCAATGCCATCAGATGTAAGACGTTATACATAAAAAAAAATATCGATAGAGGATGCGCCGTACCCATCAACTGCTGCTCCCGAAAGTGCTGCGGCGTGCAGCCGTAGAAGCTGTTCCTGTGGAAGCCCGGAGTGACGTGGCCCCCGTGGAAGCTGGAGTGAGGCGCGAACGCAGGGGTTGTATGCTCGGACCTGTCGAGCGGTATGTGGAGCGACTGGGACTTGGGCAGCCGGCTGAGGGTCCTCGGGACCGTCGGGGTCATGCTGGCCGCGCGGTGCGTCGCCACTGCCGCCGCCGCGGTGCAGGCGCAGGGCATCGAGCCCATCAGCGAGCCACCGACTCCTGGGGTCGCCGCCGCGGCTGCCATCACGGGGGAGCAGGGGCTGCGTCGGCTCCAGCCTACGAGGAAGAGCAGGGCCGCGCCGACCAAGGAACTCAGGCTGCACAGGTAGTAGCCGACGCGGGGGCTCGCCTCGTTCAGGTAGCCTGGCCGGGAAACATGGAGGACTATTGTTAGCAGGCTTTTTTTTTTTTTTTTTTTTTTTTTTGACCCCCCAAGGGGGGGAAAGGGGGCTTTTTATTTTTTGTTTTTTTTTTTTTTTTTTTTTGTACGTACGTAAAAAAANCCAGCCCGGCTTTCCCGGGGTTTACACGCGAGTCAATCGTTACCTCACTTGGATCAAGCGCAACACCGATGACGCCTGTTACTGTTCTGAGGACGTTTTGTGGCGCAATCGATGATTTTTTTTTTTTTTACGTTCAACAAACAAACGTAAACAAAAAAAGAAGAAGAAGGAAAAAAAAAAATAGCTCACGGAACTCTTGAGTTTGGGCAAACAAAGCTGTGGTCACAAAAGAGATTATTAACTTTCTAAATTTCACATGTGAATGTAGTATACATAGGATGTTTATTTATTTATTTTACTATAAGTAGCTAGTTTGTTGCAAAGGGGACTATTAAGTTTTGGTTTTTATTTATTTATTTTTTATTAAAGCTGCTACGCCAAAACTCAAAAGATCACTTTTATCTTAAGCTTGTATCTTTGCTTGTTCGATTTTGACCGATGAAAAAGTTCAATCCTCAAATCCGTGCCTACCACTTTGGATGATTTATCGGTCTTTCGATTCGTTCTCTAAAACGACGAGCAGATGAAATATATATTTTTCGATTCAATACCGAGAGGCGCTATTTTATATTCAAGCCTTGGAAAAAGGGATGGGTGGCGCATCTGGAATTCCCCGAATATCACGCAATACTTTTTGGGAGGAAGAAAATTCAAAGATGATGCTTTCGAATTTCCAAAGCTAGGAGTGTTGGAGTTGAATGAATTGAATCTAAGTTTTCGTTCAAGATATTATAGACAATATACAGTTGTCAGGATAAACGCTGATATTTGTTTCAATTATTTCCACTTTTGGCCTTTTTTTCCTATGATAATTCAAAAATTAATAATAAATTAACATTTTCGAGCAGCTTCGTGCTACGAAACAAATTACGTAGTGCAGTTCATTTCGTAAAAAAGTTGAATGAATGTATATATACATGTATATCCACGATTAACTCGGCACTCGTTCACTTCGACGAGATGCTTTAAGCGCAGCATGATAATTAGTTCCCAAGAGAATTCACGGAGGATCTCGTAACGAACAAACAAACAAACAAACAAAATTAAGTCAGTTAAAACTCTGATGCTCATAATGAATTGCTCAAAACTTTGGCTGTGATGCAGGTACAACGTAATTGGCGCAATGTACACTCATAAAAATACTTGATTTAGTACACGATAATAATATTATATTCTTTTAGTATAGCAATTCGATTACGTTGAGCTTGGAAATCAATAATCCGAGTGACGCCAATCATCGTACTGTACGGAGAAAGACATGTTTGGCTAAGCGTACGCCAACACGTGTAACGTCTCGTGCAGCGTGCGATGACGGCACTCCGCTGCGCAGTATAGCTTTCGGAAATCGCACGGTATACATGTCTGGTTGACGTTGATTTAGCGCCTACCGACTCGCCAATTAAGAGACTACCTTTTGATTCAATTCCACCTTACACGAGTACACACGTGCGCGATGATACAAAACAACGATACCTACATCGATTGGTCGTAAATTGATACAAGACGACTTTTTTGCACAGACCACAGTGGAAGATCTCCGGAGCAAGGAGGGAAAGAAAAAAAAAAGCTTGCAATTGGCAGTAATGACTTATGGCTTGGTCGCACAGTTTATCTTGCGCCTGCCTCCGCGCTCGGCTATCGTTAATTATCGCGTGAACTTGTTCTCCCCATGTTTGGTCCTCGCGCCGTAGATTAGCTTTGTTTTGTGGCGCGCGTGTGTATTTTTGCACCTTCGGCTGTGGACGAACAAAAAATACACACAAGAGGGTGATAATTACTTAACGAGGTACGTTAAACTTCTTCGTCTCTGACTCTTGTGGTCGGACTTACTCGGGCATTAACACTTTTTCTCTAAAAACAATACGCATTGTTTGTTCATTGCTGTACTTACGATGCAGTTGTACTCGACAAATTTTCTTTTTTTTTTTTTTTTTCCAACAAAAGTAACATCCATTGTTAAAAAAAACATCGGAAGGTACCGGAGAAGGTACTGGCCCCATGCAATAGTTGCAATTTCGATAAGAACATGTCGTTTGATCGATTCATTTGGCTTAGGGGCCATTTTACAAGTAGATAAACGTCATGGCAAGCAAACGTGAAATCGTTCGACGACACGCGTGTACAGGATAAACTAAACTAGCTCGCGAAACTGAGATAAGAAAGACGCATTGCAGGAGGGTCTTTCTCGTTTTCCGATCGCTGTGTCTTCCAATACACTTTCGGCCGGCTTTACTGCGCCGACAAAAGCTTTCGCGACCCTTCGAAAATAAAATCTTTATCTTGTTTCGTGAGCCATAGATCTCGAGAACCCCCCCCCCTCTCGCTTCCATGGACTTTTTCATTGTTGTACTGTACAATGAGCTCAATGCGCAAGATGTTATTTGAAAAGTTAAATGGAAGACCCAAACTTGACAATAATTAATTCGACGTGAATTAGTATGGTAGCGGTGTTTTTTAAGGGGCCAAGGTGATTTTATTGGGTGCCTTTAACTTAAATTTCACGTCTGACCGAGTTTGTAGCGGGGAAAGCCAATAGGTCAATTAATTATCGATACGTGCAAATTCAAGTAATTTTTTTTTCCTTTTTTTCAAGAATTCAGCCAAGGAGTGAAATTTTATGTTGTACTCGGTACCTCGTAACTGTAGATTGACCTTTCGTTTGTGTTTCAAATACGCCATACCTACGTAGACTACTTAACGAAATGGGAAATTTGCTTTCATTTTCAAATACACAATCCAACTTTCATCGACTGCAGCTTTTGACCTCAAAACAAATGAACCCTTTTATGGTTGAAAATAAAACTTTTGATTAATTTTACTCATTAACTGGCAGGTACGGAGTTTCAAAGTTTAATTACAGCGAAACATTAATTTGAGCAGCATAGAAAAAAAAAAAAAAAATTGTGCAATTTGTGCAACAAAACCATGTTGTTAGCGTAGCAACCTCGTATAGTGGTGACAAAAATAAACCATCATAATCATTTTTCAGTATTGCACCAGCAACAAAATTCGGTTGAATTATGCGCGAGTTGGTACTATCGAAAATTGGCTACAATTTTTTGTGATGGTAAAAAAAAAAAAAAAAAAAGAAGTAACGCTCATACTTACCGGTAACCGGAACTCCGACGAGTATGGGCAGAGCCTCGGCAGCCTGCACGAGGGCCCAAGTTTTGGCAAACTGTCGGGCCTTTATTCTCTCGAGGGTGAGCATCTTGAGCGAATAGAGACTGCCGCCCAACGAGGCCCCGTACAGCATAGCGGCCAACACTAGCCCGTGAAAGCCCTGCACGCTCCCAAGCGCCAACTGAGACACGGCTTTGGGTCACCGTAGATACATAATCCATGCGAACCGACAACGAATCAATTTCGACACGATGAAAATGCTAATGAAACCATTAGGAGTGTGCATGCATGGGTTTCGCGCGTATGCCTCGATGACCGAGTCGATGAATCATCACGGGGTGCAACGAGCCCGTGCGAGTAAAAATCTCGTTGGGGGGTGGGATCAGCTGAAAGGGGCTCTTTAGCGCTCCTCTCTCTCGTATATACGAGCCCGGGTGGGTCGACGACGTCGTATACGGTACATAATAGTCGCCGGTGCATGAAAGAAGAGGAACACGGGGCGAGGGGGGCCGTTAAAGATTGAGGAGAGGACGCATTATGAGCTGCTTCTTCGTTTTCTTTCATCGAATGGCTCGGCTCTCGCTTTTTCCCTCGAATTTTCAAGCTCCGAGGGGAGAGAGGCTCGTCACGCGAGACGCGGCTACTGATGAAGAGGAACGAGGGTGGATGAGCGAGAGATTGCGATAGCAGCTCATCGCCGGAACGAGGGGGCTAAAACTCCCGGAAGCCTATATATATGCACGCACACGTATACGTATGTGTATATATGGAAGGAGGAAAGTAGCAGCAGCAGCCAGAAAGAATCGTTACGAAGAGCAAGGGGGAGAAAAGCACCGTATATATATATATGCACAGGGGTGGGTATCGTGAATTTAAATGCGTTTCTCCAATATTCTTCAATACCTTTTTTTCTGAAAATTCAATTAATATACACTATTTTTGACTGAAAAAAAAAAAAAATAATAATAATAATAATAATAATAATAATATTGCACTGTGACGTAAAATATCCATCTCTTGTACGACTAAACGCGCGGAGGACAGTCGGTCGAATAACTTGCACGGGTTTCTTTCTCTGTGAAGAGGCCGCGCGTGAACGCGATGGTATACACATATGTGTACGTAGCGGCGAGTCGAGAAAGAGGAAATAAATGGGGCGAGTATGTGTACACATGGACCGCGGAATGCCGAAGCTATGCCCGTATGAAGGTGACAAAAAAAAAAGAAGGTTGGTCCATAGCGTATCAATGGCACATGGTAAGAAATGAAATCGAGGTGTAGTTACTCACCGACTCCGACGAGGGCACCCTGGCAGAGGTACTGCCTGGAGACGAGGCACTGGGCGGAGGGCTTCGAGGTGACGATGCCCCAACCGGCGCAGCCGGCAGCCGCCGCCAGGCCCAAGCAAGTCTGCAGCAGCACCGCGGTGCTCGGGTCGTTCTCCGCCTCGTACTCTTGCAGCGCCTACATACACGTATATATCAGTGTCCAAAGCACATGTGTATACGCGCGAACAGACAGATGGATGGACGGATGGCGGGCAAAAAGTGTTGGGAGGCATTGCGCGCGGGTATATACTTTACAAAGGAGAGCGCGCTCGGTTTAATTGACGAGAGACCGCTCTATCTCGCGCCGCTCTCTCGACCCTCTTGGTTTTTCAACTCGGGAATTCTTTCGGTACGTTTTTTCTCCCCTTGTTTTTATTTATTTTTCACCGCTCGCCCGCTGGGACGTGTGTATAAATTTATGTATAAGGGGGTCGCAGCGCGCTTTATGATCTCCGATGCCGGCGCGCTCGGTCGCACACGACGACCGATTATGCGCGTGTCTCCTGCTCTTGTTTATTGCCTCGAGTGTATGTATACTTTTTTTTTATATGCTTTTACCGGGAAAAGATTGTATCGCTTCTGTTTGTCTGGTATGTTTCGGGATTTTCGAGCTGAATGGAAAAAACAAAAGGCTGTCTGGTGGATGGGCGCGTGGGAGTGCGTTCCGTGAAAATCAAGCGAGCCGAGTCAAGTCTGATACGTTTTCTTGTACGTCATGCAGTTTACTTTTTTTTCTTTTTTTTTTTTTGCTCGCGTACATCGATGCGGTGGAAAATGAAAATCGAATCTGTTTTGCCTCCCCCTCGGCCTTCCCTCGACGTTTTCGCGAAATCAATCCGACGCCGGGAGAGGGAAAAAAATGTAATATCCAAGGTAAGTCGAAAATACGTTTAACTCGCGTGCGTTGGAAACGAGTATACGCGTTGACGTGATGTAAAAACAGACCTCCACGTTTGCCGTGATGCTTTTTTACTGTATTTTTTATCTAAAAATCACAAGCAAGGATATCCAATTTTCACTCGTCTCGAACAAAAGTTTGGCAATCGGTGAAACAAAAAATTGAGCTCCTCAAAGTTTCCGCTCAGTTTAGAGTCCACAAGTGAAAATCTAAGAGGGGTCTCATCTAAATTCGCGACCCGCATCCGTAAAGTCATCCCTTTGAATGTAAAGGTAAAACACGCGCATTGCCAAATATTGTAGGCAAGGGATTGAGAAAGACGAGAGAAAAAAAGGAGATGATGGACTCACGATGAAAAAAGCCGGCGTGTAGAGGCCAAAGGACGCGGCAGCGGCGGCCAGCATGAGTATCCTGACGGGCTGGCTGGCCAAAGGACTGAAATCGATCCAGGGTGGTCTGGCCGCCTTGAGCGCCGACTTGGACTTGGTCTTCAGTTTGTTCTGTTGATTCTTGAGGTGGACGATGGCGTGGCGCTGCGGGTGGTACAGCGAGGCGCTCCTGTACACCAGCCCGAGAAAAAACGCTGTGAAGAGCGCCCCCGTTATCGCTTGCAGGCCGTGCCTCCACTGCAGCTTTCTGAGGAACAACAAAACTATGATCTCGTTTCGGGGATCTTTTCTGTTTATACCTCCTTTCTTTTTTTTTTTTTTTTTTTTTTTTTTGTCCAAATATCCCATACACGTCGCGCTCACGTGAACTTTCTTTTTGTTCCCTACCCGATAAATTGTGGTAATGGTACCTTCGCGCGTGCTTGGGTATTTCGGCACACCCGGATTTCTCGATCCTGATTTATTTTTATCCTTTGCCGCATGCGGCGGATGATCATTTTGCTCGTTCCCCCCAAAAGGAGGTAAAGACCGCTTCTCGAGTTTGCGAGTCGCCGGAATAAATTGGCATTCCCTTCTTTTTTCTTTTTTTTTTTTTTTTTTTTTTGCGCCCAGCGAAGATATTTATTCGGATTTGCGCGCGCGCGTGCACTTGAGAGTCTCAGGGGATGAAAAATCGCCCTCCGCAAGGCGGAGACTTAACGAAAATTTAGGTCCACGAGTTGAGGCTCGACAGATATATACATGGGCGCGTATACCGTATAATCGGTCCCCAAGCAAAGTTTCGACCAAAGACCTCTAATGCATCGGCTTGGGGGGGGGGGGAGGGGACGCGAATGCGGGGTGCTTCCACCTCGTGTGGATATTCATTTGTTGAGCTCGAAAGCACACACAGCTTAATTTTGTTATTTTGTGAAATCAAATCGAGATGAATTTATACAACACGCGTATCGAAAATCGATTCCACGCGCGAACGAGAAATTGTATTATGTGCAAGGCTGTTTATGTAGACTCGAACGAAAAGGATGCAAACGCAGGAAAGGAAAGAACAACACGGAGAAAAAATATATCCGCATCCATTTTTCAGGAGTAAGTGCATGTGCCAGCTTCGAGATCTATCACCGTCTCCGTTTATTCGCCGTTCGTCCATTTTTGCGTAGTAATAATACCTACTCGGTTACCTCGGGAAGCATTATCTTATCGCGTTACACCGAGTTTTTGCAGAGACGTTGTAGATTTTTTTTTTTTTTATGCCATTAAAATGCACTTTTTTCTTTTGTTGTGCAGCCAATGATGGGATCAACTATTTTCATTAGTTGATCAAATCTTTTCCTCGATGTACAAACACAAGTGCAACAATTCGGCTTTAAAAGTACAATATGTATATCTGCACTTTCGTGACTTATGATGGACATTGTGTTGGGGTTGAACTTTGCCATACCATCCCTTGGAGCAACAAACATAAGGTGGTCGAGCGACAAGTAACTCAAGATGCAAACGAAAATCAAAGTCACCGTGCACCTCGAGCCACTACCATCGAGGGTATATAAAAAAAAAGAAGCCCCATCGCCAAAATACATTACCAGATCAGAAAAATAACCAAAATATTTTTCCTCGACCACTTAAACCCTCGTCACGCAATCGCTTCTCCCGGAAACAATATATTTATCACCGGCTAGGAAAACTTTCGGATCGTGTATACACATATAATATAAGCCTTCGCCACAATCCCGAGCGCTAATTCACGTCCGCTCGGGGTCTTTGTCGGAACCGCGACGCTATATGTATATAACTGCTCCCAAAGTGTACTACAGCACTCAAGGGTACGCGTACCCAATAATAATAATAATAATAATAATAATAATAACAACAACAACACATATACAGTCGTGTGTCTGTGTGGCGGATGTGGTTGTTGGCATTATACAGTGTCCCATATCCTTCCCGTCTCACTAGGCCAATGGCAAGGCAGGAAGAAAAGGTAATATACTTTGGCATTGTAATATACAGGGTACAAGCGAGCAGATCGAGTGGAAATGCCGCGCGTGGAGGCTTCTTTTCCTATATATTATAAGGTCTCTGTATATATACGTATACAAACACTCTCGGTATTTCTCCTTGTTTTCTCTTTCGAGCATCCGGCTCGTTTGCTCCAACCATCTCTCACCCCTTGTTATTCCGCGCGTGTATATACATGTACACGTATACGTTTGCTCCTTTCGTCTTCCCCCCCCCCCCGTGTGTGTGTGCCCTTTCGCACGCGCGTATGCTTCCGCTCCCTTGTATTTTTTTTTCTTTTTTTCCTTTTGGCTGTGCTATGCTGTAGGTACGTTTTTTTTTTTTTTTTTTTTTTTTTTTTTTTGTTGTTTCTGCCCTAAAAATGCTAAACGACTCGGGTGCGCGGGGATGCGTTTTTTTCGCTACTCGTGTTTTTCATTTTTCGAAATGGTTGCGCAACAACACGTAGGCAGGTATACACACGCGCATATTATACTGGGCGGCCAACCAATTTTGCATTTCAAAGAGCTGACCCTTTCGTGGTAGGCGGGAAAATTTTTACGTTTTGCTATTTACGCTCTTTTCTTTTGTGTGTACTGTATTTTTTTGGACAAACATGATAAAGGCTCCGTAAATGTTTCTCGTACTGGTGGATCAAGTAATCGTATTACGTCATCGATCTTTGGTTGTTATTACTTGTATACAGTTAAAACCGATCCAATGAGTTTCTATGTTAATGAGAGTACCGTCAACGATTGGCCAAACAAGTAATCACGATATTTGTGTACCACAAAGCGCGCTCGCCGTGATTTTCCCCCTCGAATCTCGTTACCCTTGGTTTTGCTCGCAAATTCCAACCCACCAGTCTCGGCCTTTCGACGGAATATTTGCGGTTGGTTGTATGTATACATAAAAAAAAAGAGGCCTCTGTTTGTTTTCGGTCAGCGCAGCGGTTCGCCCTGCCGTTGAATAATATCGATTGCGAAAGGCTCGTGGGCTTTTCGATGAAAATCACGTGATTAATTCATGTAATTTGAAAAGCACCTCGAGACTAGTTTGACGTTAAAAGTATAGTCAGCTCGTGCATGTGTCGTATATTACAGTGTACATATAGACAACGTATACTTGATGATCATTGAATGAAAAAAAAAAAAAAATCATTAGAATCGAAAAATAAAAAGATACGCTTACAGTAGTGAACGTTGGCGTTACCGATGAGATTAAGCCATGGAGATTTAGCTTATTTTTCAAAACCTCAGTTCAAGTATGTGTCACCTGTTACAAGTATTGTATCCATAGATCGCGTTTACCGTTTGGATGTGCAATGCGTTATAGGTGTACACGCGCGTGTCCGATATCCTTTTAAGGAAGTACGGGGCCATGCGCAGATGTATTCAATTGCACCCCTATACCTCGATGTTCAACAGACGATTGCGACTGTACTATATCCAACATCCCCCGAACACGAGTTCCACTATACGTATCTCCCGTACATTCCCACCCCAGCACCCTCAACCCTTCTCTATCCAAAGTTGTCCCATACTAGTTCTCTCTCTCTCTCTCTCTCTTTATCTATCTGATCGATAATATCCGGCTACTATGCGTACCGTTAACTGGTGCCGATGCCACGGTGCTGCCCCGGAGAACTTTGCCAATCTCAGTTCCTCGCCCTCTATATTCCTCTCTTGTGCTTCCACTTGTGCGCATATGTATACGTGCATGGGTGAAAAGAGAAGAAAAAAAATTCGGGCGAAGGTACATAACAGCACGGTCAAAAAAAAAAGTGGTTACACGCCTGCTGCTGCCTTTGCTAATTACACATTACCGATGTGGATGTTGATTTTTTTTTGTTTCACTCCCTCCGCAGCCTTCGTTTTCTTCTCGTTGGGCTTCACCGCGTTCACGTGCGCGTACACTTATACACAAAAGATCACCGAACCGCGATTTTACCCAACTATACACAAAAGGCCCAGCTCGATTGTTCGACTGTATTTTTATTTTTTTATTTTCTTCGTTTTGCCCGTGCCTACTCTTTAGTATTGCTCTGTATACTATCGGGGGCTCTCAGGAGGGATGGGGAATGAAGGCTCGCTTCCCCACACACACACATATTTGTGCGCGCAACGCTACTCTGCTGCTGTTACAAGTACAGGTTATTCGCCAGAAGAGAGCAACGAGTGAATAATACCTCGCGTCGTACATTACTCGAACCTTTTATCATCTCCCCCCCTCCTCCCAAGCCTCCTCCACCTAATACCCGATTTATTCATTCGTGTCGTTCGAGCGCAAGTTATAGATTCGACATGGGAATTGCACACTCGAGTTGCTCAAGTCGTAAGTACAAAGGTATGGTATAAAGTAAGGGAAAATAGTTCGAACGTGGATGACTAGCGTTTTTTATGCAACCAGTTTAACTGATGATTTTTCGTTGAGGTAAAACAAAAAAAAAAAAAAAAAAATCAGTCTCCACGATTGATTTTTATTTTTACTTTACACCGTACGTACATGTATGTGCACGTAGAGAAATGAAGGGTTAGAGACGTTAGAGGTGGAGAGAGCACAGCTTTTGCGTATTAGACGGCAAGTACACGGTGTATTACAGGGAAGAGGAGGCGGGAGAGTCCGTGTGCACTGACGGCGTAAATTGAATACGTTTGATCCGGGGTTCCGGCTTGTTATACGAGCTAACGCTGATAATGGCGGAGTCTGTTAACAAGACTCTATGCCGCAGTTGCCCCTTTGGATCACTTCTGTGTGCGCTATTTTATTTTTTTTTTCCCCAAGCTGTAACTTTTGTGCCAAAGAGATTAGGGTTGTTACCCTCTTTTTTTATTTTAAGAGTGAGTCTCGTGACAATTTTTATAAGGGTAGAAAAAAAATGCCTTTTGTCAAGCGGAATTTCAAAAGGGTGATAAAAACATTGCAGGAGACACAACGCTGCTTTTTAATTTTATAAAAGATGCTTCGGTCCTCCTCCGCGCAAAGCCACTGAAATTAATTAAATACCTTAGTCCGCGTCTGAAAAACAAAAAAAAGGAACGTCGTGTCAAAAACAGCGTTTGCAAAAACGAGCTTTTAATTTCATTTTATTTAGAGCGCGCGTGCTTTTGAGGAGTTAATTACATGAAATTTTCCCTCCGCAAAACAATAATTACACGTGTGTTGGCGACAGATGAGCAGCACCTCGAGTTTCAATTCGCAGCGCAACTCGACTCTGTCAAACGTGATTTCGCGCCTCAAGTTTGTACAGCGCTCGTGATCATTTATTACACAGGAACACTCGTGCGCTCCGCCGATTTTCCCGAAACCCGTAAATAAATAAATAGAACGCCCCCCCCCCCCCCCGATGAAAACGCGTCGCTGCAGGTTTAAAACGATATATCGCAAGGGGGGTGGGTTCGATAAAAATATATTGTGCCATTACTTTTGCGCAAAGAGACAAACACGAGGAAACGCAAGTATAGGAATAAAAGAGCTTACCCAAGTGCCTCCTTGTAAGAGACGCTGAAGAGAGCGATGCCGACGCCGGTGCCAGCTTGGACGATCATCTCGACGAATTCCCGGCGCTTCCTGAAGTAATGGCCCAGCATGAGGCCGGCGGTCTCTCGCACCATAGCCGCGCCAAAGCCCTGCACCACGCCAAAGCTGCATACAACATTTTACCACTGTTATCGTACCGTGTCTTTTTTTTTCCCTCCGTAAAAATGAAGCTTGATAAAGGCCTCACCTGAGCATGACCTGATGCGCCTGCACGGCAAAGGAGGCAAAGAGGGCTGACAGGGCGAGCACGAGGCCTCCGATGACGGAGGTGAGTCGGGTGCTGCCGCGCCTGCAGACGCCGAGAATCAGGGGTGCAGAGGCGCGGGACACCGCGGCGCTCAACGAGCCGATCCACACTGCAATGGTGTATAAGTGTCGTGTTCGGTAGCGTATATATATTTCTTTTTTTCAGAAATGGATGCGGTTAAAGGAACGGTGTGTCGTTATCTCAAGAGGTAGAGAGTTAGTGGAGGCTGTTGAGAATGACGATAATTTTTAAAGAAAAAATAACGTCAATGGCACATTACTTATTTATAACCATTCATGTGAATTTGTATTTGCAACGAATATTTTAAATTCTAAAAATGCTTGCAGAAATTATAGAGCCATTAAATTCAGGGGTGTCTTTTTTACCCCCTCTTGAATTCATCAAGTGGGTGTCTTTTTTAACGAAAGTTTCCAAGCATATCTCGTTTCATCGTTTGTATACATGCACATGCGTTGACTACGTGATTCGCAAAGGATTGCTCATAGTCACAGTTCCCGAACCAGGTTACGCTTCATCGGTGAATTTGTTTCGCGTTTTTCCTGACGTTACACGCGATAGAAACTCTCGTATACACTTTTTCATATACAGCTACACGATGTGGCTTAGCCCTCGGAGTGATGCATTTTTGTGATCAATTTTCTAGGGGGAGAAAATTCGCTGACTCGGCATGTAGATGGTCGGAGATAGTACGAGAGGGGGGCTGTAAATGGATGTACCTACTCCATCTATGCGAGATCCACTTGGGAAAAATCTGACGCGGCGTTGTTTGAATTTATTTTGATGTATCGGTACACACCTAACGATCCACGAGCGGGTAGCCAATGGTGGGAAAAAACAGTTTTACCAAGTTTTTTTCAGTCTCGTTTCTTGAACATTGGTTGGCGAGTTTTCGCGTCGAAAGTTCATCGGAGGGTCAATTAAAACTTCTTTTTCTTCGCAGCTCCGAGATCGATGATCAACCTCATTACGGCAAAGGAAACAATTTGGAAAAAAAAGAAGCAAAAAAAACCTTATCCCTCCTCGTTCCAGCGGGGTTTCCGATGAGTCGTCGGATTGAAAATTCATGGGCAGACTCGGAAAATTACAACCACCGATCCCACGGCCCTTCGAATGAAATCAGTTGAGGGAACAAAAAACGAATGTTATCTTTCGTCTATTTTTTTTCTCCTTTTTTTGTTCCCTCCGATTTGAATTAGAAGCGAACGAAAGCTCGGCTGATCGCTGGATCGACACACACACAAAAGCCCCATACCTATACCGGACACGAAGATACGATTCGTTGATTGGCGAGCGCGTGCAGGGACAAGGTCCTCTAATTAAGACCTGAACGAGCCTTTGATGAGCTAATGATGTACATCCACTGGTAGATATATATCACGTAGGTCCGAGCCGGATGGAATGCGAAACGAGATTTTTATTTTTCACTTTCAAGCTGTACGTACAGGGAGACTCGCTTTGTTTTCTCAGTAATTACTCTGACTTAGGGGCTCGACGAATATGTACCCGAAATCTCGGTTTTTGCGTTATTTATGCCTGCTGTGCTGCGTTTTTTCTACTTATATACACGAGACCTTTTTGCAATAACTGGTGGTATGTTTTGTTATCGTTTTGTTTGTTTTTGTTTTACTTTTGTATCCCTTGTTACCGATGGCGATTGAAACGAGTCAAGCTATTGAAAATTATCGTTTTAGCGGATGATAAGAAGAAGAAAAAAAAATGTTTTCTTGGGCGTGATAAGTAATGGGTGTAGTTTTAAAATCATAATTTATAATTTTCGTAAGTTTAAAAAAAATTAAAATTAAAACTACTAAGAACTCTCTTTCCAGCTGCGTTTAATGGTTTCTAAAAATAGGTATCCATTGCGAGGGCGGTTTTTCCAGCCAATTTCGCGCCTGTCACTCGTTCGATGAAATTCCCATCGATTTCTTCGTTTGGCACACGTTTCCGTGGATATTTCCTCATCACACACATGGCACTTCGAACCAACAAATGGAAATGAAAACGAACAAACGCACCTGAGCCGATACAAGACCTAAATACAGTCAGCCAAGGCTTGACAAGTAGAACCATCCGAGTACGGTAAGACAACAACTTTTTTTCCCAATTTCTAAATTACAATCCCTGTTTTGTACGTAACGTGGTTACGTGACCAGATGAGTAAAGCACATGGCAAAAGCCACTAGCTCATCTGTTTCAATAACCAAAGATCGGAGCTAAATCTCCAAGACCTAAGTATAGTCAGCCAAGGCTTGGAAAGTAGAACCAGCCGAGTACGGTAAGGCAACAACTTTTTTCCCCCAATTTTCAATTTACAATCCCTGTTTTGTACGTAACGCGGTCACACGTGACCAGATGAGTAAAGCACACGGCAAAAGCCTCCAGCTCATCCGTTTTAATAACCAAAGATCGAGGTGGAATCAAGTTTGAATCGCGCATGCAAAGTAGGTACACACAACAACGCCACCGTCATCGTTATCATCCCCATAGGAGCACCCGGACAATAGCCTTCGTGTATAACTTGCCCAAAGAGGTTTACGGAGAGCCCGAGAGAGCCCCTATCAGCTTCTATTCCAACCCAACGCTGTAGGTATATCTCACGCGTCTACGCGCATAAAGACGTATCTCAATCCGAAGCTCACAAGTCTGTCGGCGCGTATGATTGCAGTAGCGTTGGTGGTAAACGTTTCACCAATGATTCAAGCAACTCTCTCTCTCTCTTTCTTCTTATAAGAGAAAAATTTTATCGACACAAGAAGGCTGCAGCTTGTAAATCGTTAAAGCTACCGGAGTATTTTGTTCCACAATTAACCACGTAACCCTTGCTTAAGCGCGCATATAGAAATTTGAACAACATCCATGGCTTTACATCGTACGTACCGTACAGCGGGCTTACATTACCACTTTTTATCCTCCTTTGCACGAGAGCGCTCGGTAGTGTTTGTATCTGCTTTATGGATACACATATATCGTTCGTAGGGTGTATCAACTTGTTGCCGCGACGGTTTTATGTATGTACATACACGCTACATGTATACAGCCGGAAGAAAGGGTAAAACGTCAGCAGAACCATACATGCGCTTCCTGTAATACGGCGCGTAGATACTCGTATACATCCACACAAGAGCTTTAACGGACCGCAACAATAGAGGTCGGCTCCACGCGTATGTACAGCAGTGCAATATGCGCCCAAGTTGAGGGTAATGCCGTTCGATTATGAATTTCGATAACTGTATATATACTATTCGATGAGTCTAACACGTTGTACTTATGTTGGTTCCGAAAATCTGGTGGTGAAAAGCTCGCAAGCTTGATACATTACTGATGATTTTATTATCCGTTTGCAAAAGTAGGGGATCAGTGATTTTTGAAAAGATTATCAAATGCGTTTAGCAGAAATTTATTATAAAGAGGGTACAAAATCACGAGTACAATTTAATTTATTTATTTTAACGCTAATTGCGTGCAATTGTATCGGTTTATTTTGTATTTTGGAATGCAGAAGTATACCCCCTCAGACATTATATACTCGCAAGTTTACTCTTTAAATCCTCGAGAAGACCATACCTACGCAGTTGCTTGCATCAGCCGTTTTGGGCAACTTTACGCGTAGCTGCAGTGCAGATAAGTTTTTTCTCTTCCTAAAATTAAATATTATTTATATCGACACCGTGGCAAAAGTACCATTTTTTTTTCTTTTCATAACTTTTTATTTTTAATTTAATTTTGGTTTCATTCCTTGTTGTATTTAATTACCACGCGTGTATTTTATTGTTTCAAGGTGTACATGGCGACGTGGTTCCGTGAAATTTACTACCCCCTCCATCCCATCAGTTGCGCTTCGAGTATTTTATGTCACTGAACCGTGAGCTCGTGGAGAAAAAAAAAATTCGTCCGCAGTTCAAACGCACGGGCGTCCATCATCCAATGACCAAAAAAGCCACGAGCTTTCGCAAAAGATGAGAGCTTTTGACCCTTGAGAAAGTTGGCGAAGCGTAGTGCCAATGCATGTCGTTGCTTTTAATTACAAGTTGGAAAACGTCACTTTTTGAAAATAACAGGGAAAGAGGGAAAATTCCTTTGAAAAAAGGCACACGCGTAAGAGAAGCTCGATAAAGAAACCCTACGACATTTATATTGAGTTGATAAGCGAGTATTTTCGCGCAAATCACTGGCTTTGATAATCCCGAGTATAGATACATTATACGACGAGCTAAAACCAAAGTCAATTGGGAGAGCGATAGAGAGCAGCTCTTTTGGCACTCTCATTAAAAGCTTCGTCCTCGAGATATTAAGCTCTATATAGGAAAAGGAACGAAGAAAAAAAAAGTTGCTGTACTGTAAAAAGCGTATTCGTTCGGATAGGAGTACTCTCAGTGTCGTCCGCAGCCACTTTTGGAACGGGCCGAGAAAGCACCGGACGAGATGTACAGGATGAATTTATGCATTATTCATACACGTTGCATTGTTCGGCTGCAAAAAGCGAGTGCTTGAGATGCAGAAACTAGAGAACATTTCCTTGACACGAAAAAATTATTATTTTCATACCATCGCCGCAACTACCGGTACTCAATCTCCCTGATTTCGGGGACGAAATTACCCTTGCAATTTTCGCGCGGGAGGCGTTAAAAATATCTCATTAAAACGCGTTCGATGCGATTTTTACCCGGGAAGTTAGGTAAGCACTCCTAAAAACTAGTACCATTATTTACCAACTTGATGCGGAGGCTGTACATGCAGTTTTAGTCACGTACGAGCGAGATGTATGAAGTGTGAACGTACAAATTTTTAATGCAGATGACCGTGAACTAGAGAAAAAAAATTTCCACCTCACATTAATAAGATAGAAAAATGTTTCTTTGTACTTTTAGTTTGGACGAAATACGGCATCCATACACGTTATCGTCATTATTTATCCAACCCCCAAAAAAAGTGAACAAATTGTCTTGTCACGCCCTCGAAGATAATTATAAAATAGGTTATTGGGTACTGGATATAATACGTAGGTACACACATAAAAGAACAGCAGATGAATCAAGAAAGTCGATACCGTGAGCGCCTCGTTAAAAATCCTCTCGTCTCATCCGCAAGAAAGAGGACCTGACTGTACAGCACCGACCTTGTCTCAAATACATGACAAGTGTACATTTATTATACATATACACACGCTCTTGTTTTCCCACTCTTGGTGTTCTTTTTTTATTTTCAGGGCCACGCGAGGGGTTCACAGTTCACGGCCGGAACGACGATTTTTGCCGCCACTCGCTATATTTTCATCGCTTGGCTTTGGAAAAGAGGCCGTTCACGCGCTGTCGCCCGCGCCCGTCTGCTTTACTATCCGTCAAGATGCTCGCTGGGGTGGTTTATTTTTTGGGTACACGATCGCACGCCCTATAGCGAATTGGGTCGTACATATATATACCTACCTGTTGCACAGTACGCCACGTTTCAACCCAAAAATCGCTTTGTCCTTGCGAGTTGTTTTATTTTCTCGTGTGAGTCGTATGGACAATGTCAGCATTGTGTCGGTGAAAGGTGGTTAAAAATAATTGTCCTGTGCTGCGTGTGAGGGCAAACTAGAGTGGGTAAAAAAAAAAAAAAAAAAAAAACAAAGAAGAAACTAATACGAAGGTAAAAATAAACGAGCGATATATCGATTATAGAAGCTCGGAGGGAATTAAAATGGAAAAAAGCACCTATCGCGTGTAAATGGATTTTAAGCATTTATCCGCGCGATATCGGACGGAGGCTTGAATTAAAAGTTTAAAATAAAACCGCGGTAGGCTGGAAGATCGATGTGCGGTGAGAGAATAGACTAATCGAGATTCAGGGAAGAAGGATCAAAGGTAAATAATTCCAAGCACTGTAAATTACCGATGCTGCGTATCTGAAATCACATCTATTTAGCCAACCAAAAAAAAAAAAAAAAAAAAAAAAAAGAGTTAAGCAAACATTGGTACACAGAAAGAGAATATTTTGCAAACACTATAGGTACTGCTAGCGATAACATGTACCGATTTGTGAGAGCGAGGAAGGTAAGTTGTACAACTTAATCGGCAGGTCGACACAGTATGACTAAATGTTGATTTACCTTTTTGAAACTTTCACCCTCGGAGAGCTAGATCGATTACTCGAGCATACGTTTGTTTCAACTTAAAAAAGGTTTAATGTCAATTCTGGATCCGTACCTTTTATTACCGATACCGGTTGTCATTTTTATAGCGTTTCAATTGTTAAATGGAAAAGCTCCCACGGAGCAAAAGAACACGTACATTTTTCGTCTCTGCGTGAATAATATTACCACTCGGAGTCCGAAGTACAAACAGGAAACAAGTAATACAAGTACGTAAGTGGTACAAAAAGAATATAGAAACGGGATAAATGAAGATAAAATTAAAGGGAATCAAGAGAGAGAGGGAGATAAAGTGTGCGCGTGCCATTTTTCAGAGGAGCTATTAGGAGTAAGAAGCAGCAGGAGAAAAAGAAGTAGAAGAAGAAGAAGAAGAGTAATAATGCAGAGCCCGAGTGTAATAACGTCGCTGTTTGATCTATGTATACGTATACGTGCCAGGTACGCGCCAGCCAGCCTATTTGCCTATGGGCTTGGCGCTGCAGGCCTCTCCGATTCTCGATTCACGGTTAAATGCAGCCTGCAGCGGTGTAGCATCGTAGACGGGTCGAAATAATATACGCTCCGCCTCTTCCCTTCCCCGCCGGCTCCTTCGCTTATATTGCATGCACCGACACAAACGATAAGCATATACGTACACAGGGAGCCTTAACTCGACTGCACGTGCGCTTGCCTCGACCTTACCATTTCTATACAACAGTAACAACAGCCGATTGGCTTACGCGCGTGTGTACGTACACCTGTGTGTTTACGGGGTGAAAGCTACGGGCTTTGCTTCGATATTGCGAGGGGAGAGGAATGCTTTTTTAACCCCCCCCCCCCTCCGTGCAACGTTTGTTCCCCAGTGCCATGGTTTCGTGCGGTGGTTGCAGTTGCAAAGTAGGTGCAGCGCTTTTCCTGTGTACGCGATCGCCTTCCAAAGCCGATTGTGCGGAATTTATATGTTTACGATCGGTGGGTCCTGCAGTTTTTTTTTTTTTTTTTTTTCCATCGCGGTGTTATCGGTGACATTTGCACACGGCGGCACTTTAGGTCGTTCATGCGACTCTTTTGGCTTTGTTTTTTCCTCACCCCAGTTTTATAATCAACATAAATAATGTGGGGTACGACTTTGCTCATGGGTTTACCAACCGTGAAATTTTAACCCACGAACAAACCATTGGCTATAATTTCTAAGAGGAGGAGCAAAAAAAGGTGCTCCACGCGCGGAAAAGCTTATCGATGGTGTATGGATCATTGCACAACAGATGTATACACGTATGTATGTGTGGAGAGAAAAAAAAGGTGAGAAGAGCGCATCCTCTTTTTTTTTTTTTTTTTTTTTCGAGGAGGAAAAAAAAGGAAAAGTCGATGGTAAAAAGACCAGAACTTGTTTTACTTCGTATCGGGTGAAATTACGATATTCCCAGGGCGTGAAAATTAGCTGTCCTTCGGGGAGCCTTGAGACTCGTGCCCACTGTTTCATAAATTAACTTTCCCTGCCAAAAGTAAAACTATGATTATTCGGCACACGTAATTTATTTGATTTTGTTTACATTAAAATTACTTTAACGCACAGGGTTCTAAGTCAATAGCTACGTATATATACACGTGAAACGTAAAAATAACTAACACTGTAGGAGATACGTATATATATATATATATATATACACGATGAGGTAAGACATACTCACCAATGTCGGTTTTGTACGGGGCGCCGAGGTGCTTGATCGCGTAGATCTGCAGTTGCCCGAAGGCGAGTTGCATGCCGGTGGTCAGTAGCAGGGCGAGAAAGCCCGCGGCGCAGACGAGCCAGCCCCAGCCACCCTCCGGATAAAAGTGCATTCGTATGCCCGAGACATCGATACCTACCATCAAAAAGCATTTGTCCATACTATTTTTTTACCATTTATGCGCGCAGTTCCCGTGAGCATAAACATGTGTACAGATCAATACTCGCGTGTATCTAGCGTTTACTGTAATTTTCTTGCACATGGGTACATCGCTCGAGTTTGGGTACATTTTGAATTTAAGATGACTATCTGTTTCATACACGAGTGTCGGTATGATGGACACGCGGTGCAGTAGCAGATTATTGCCGGTGGTTTTTCTCGTTATAGCTGCGCTTCTCGTCTCGCCGGGACCGGCGGACCCCACTGCGATCCAATTATAAGTTTCATCGGGATTCCTTCTAGTTACTTCCTCTTTTTTTTTTTTTTTTTTTTTGCCCGACTTGTCGAGTTTTTCTTGCATATTCAGACTCATAAATGACGAATGAGAGGGTTCCCCCCCCCCCTTTTTTTGTACTCATCCCGAGTGGTTCTTTTATTTCTTTATTTTTGTCGTCAACTCTCGATTTAACTTGGTCGGACGAGTTCAGGTGGGTAACGAGAAGAAAAAAAATTTTAATTTCCGGCTGTAAATTATGAAAATGCCGATTCGTCCTGCACCACGCTTTGTTGGCTGAGCAAAATGTTTCGAGCACCTGCTAGTATAGGGTACAATGTCTCATTAAATCAAACTCGAGCTCCGTCCGAGACACGCACGTGCCAGGACACGACCGTCGGAAAATCACTCTGACATAATATAATAGCAAAGTAATAAACGAAAAAAAAGTTGTTTTTTTTTTAAATGAATGCGTTAAAGTTTTTTTTTTTTTTTTTACAAATTATTGCCAAAAAGATTTTTCAATCCTTCATTATTTTTCTTAAAAACTACATCTCATTGGAATCTTTGTGCATTGGTACAGGGAACGCGATCGCAAAGCACACAGAGGAACCATTTCATGTCCTTTGCATGGACCTATAAAGTAGCCGAACGGTTGTACATAAATATGCAAAGGCACGTGGAAAGAAAAAAAAAAAGGACACGTAAAAAACACACATGAGAGCACCGGGCATCGACCGGTCCGTACAACTCACCTGTTCGTCGAAGCGCCGGCACGCAGCGATGAAGGCTGCGCAGATCGCCGAGGACCCAGTTCCCGTTGCCAATTGCACTCTCGTCCAGATCCGCGCAGCGACCGCGTGGATCTACGTGGTGCGCATTCATCCGTGTCCAGCCAAAGTGTATCCCAGGCACAGGAGGAGCGACGGAGATGAAAAAGAAGAGAAAAAACAAACGAAAAGGGTATAGGTAGAAAGAGATAAAAATAATCGAATGCAATGCTTTACGGACCCTCCCCTGTGCGCGTATACGTATGGAGCTGGGAGGGATCGCTCACTCGGAAATGGTATTTGGACGAATGACGCTCGCACAGCGTACACGCATGGAGAGAGAGGCACATAGTATGTGTAGGTAACGGGAGATGCCGCATGCAGTTTGCATCGGATCTCGCTTCGCGGAATTTCTGGAGCAATTACACGTGACTCCCTTCCGTCACGTTCGTCTTCTGTTTCTTTTTCCTCCCCACCTCGTGCGTGCATCCACCGGAGATAAAAAAAAAAAAAAAAAAAAAAAAAAAGAAAATTAAGCTAGCCCATCACGAAACGCCGGAAAAAGGATATTTGATACTTTGCGAGCTAAAATAAATTGCATGATTAGCCTGAGTATTTACGTTTGATGAAAAAAAAAAAAAAAAAAAAAAAAAAAGAGTTAAGNGTAAAATGCATTACGGGGTGTACAGACGATACAGTGGCTGAAAAGCTATGTGCGAGGCCCCGCAACTCCATGGGTATAGGTACACATAACAATAGAGTGGGTAAAAAAAAAAAAAAAAAAAACAAAACAAAACAAACAAACAAAACAAATAAAAATCTCAAAGAGTCCTTACGAACGCGACACCAGAGGGCGAGGCTTCACTTCGTGCTCGGCATAAATAATGTATTCGGTGCAGCGGCTTCGAGCAATCGCACGCGCGTTGTACGTGTGAATAAGCGTACGCGATTGTATATATGATTCACAACCTCGTCCCATGTATAAGTACGTGCAGAAACCCACGCTGCAACTACGGAAAATTGTACTTACTCGATGTTAAGGGAGACCCGAGCTTTTGTCCCCTAGATTTTGAAAATGAAAGTTTTATGGCACGTGTGTGCAAAAGGAGACAGTACACACGAATCTAAAATAAATGGGACGAAGGGCCCCCTGTACATAATAGAGGTATCTTTATCATTTTAGTAACCTTCGCTTCCCTCTTAGCCTTCCACGCACTCTTTAGACAATGGCTCACGTTTTCGGCCTCTACACTTTTGTTGCGTGTCATCCTCGTTTTGTTCGAGAGCTCATTTCGCCGAATAACCAAGTGATGCCGGCTCAGGGCACTCGATCCTCTCTATCCGGCGCAGCGACAGCTCTTTCGCAACTTCCCAGTGAGAGATAACGAGGCGGGAGGAAAGAGCTAATTATCCCGGGATTTTTCCCCTTTCCGTTTCGTTCGCGATTTTACAGGTATCCGATCGCGGCGCACGCCGCCACCACCTATATCGACCCCTCTTTTTTCTCGAGTCCACGTGATAGCTCGATTGCGCTTTCTTTCATACCTGTTCCTCTCTCTCTCTCTCGCGACCAATAAACCATCCTGACGTACAAGTACGTATAGGTAAAGGAAAACAAAAAAAAAGCCACAAAGAGGGACTCTTAAATAACAAGCGAAGGCACAGACGTACGGGTGACGGCGATAATTCACCAAGAGTAGCGGGGTGCGAGCAAGCAAAGGCCACGACGTCGTCATCGTCGTTAAAAGGCTGAGGAGGAGAGGCCGTTGAAGTGATTTAAGCCTCGCCGATCGCCTCTTTTCCTCCTTCCTCCCTCGCTCCACTGCCCGTCCTTTCAGGAAATAAAAGGAAGAGGAGGAGGAGGAGCCCCTTGGGGCAGGCGTGTACAATACAAGGTATACAAGAATGACGTTTCTATAGGTGGCCATTAGCGACTGCAGAGTCGCGTTCACGGCGGCGCGGTCAAAGTGTGGTGCAGAGTGAGTGATGCCCGCAATCGGAAGAAGCCCCATTTATGCAACGACCGCAGAAACGCTTTGGTGCGCATAGGGTGGCTGGTGTGTTGAGTGTGTATAGGTATATGCTTACTCTTCGTGCACATCACATGTGTAGGTATACGTGATATTGTATACCTGTAGGTCACTATGCTCGTGTTCGGCCGTCGAGCCAAGCCTGTGGTGTACGGCTGTTTGCTAATTAATTATGTCGAGGATGGGCTGTATACATAATATACTACACACGTACAGATACGACGTTCTCGCTCGGTTGAAACGTGTGTACTTACACGTGCGGCTAGCGTTGACTTTTCCGCGTTCGTCGGTGTCTTTGGATTTTTAAGTACACGTTTGAATTATCGTGCAGTTCAAATTTCTCTTTTTAATAAAATACATAGCGGTTGCGTTCGTAAGAATTTGAAGAACAAACAAGTCTGTGGAGTACCAAGTATTTCATCAGTTTCAATAACATATTAAAATATTATATGTTTCAGTCTCTATACAGTCTTGATGTGTCAATCTTTGAAGAAAAATCATTTTCGTTTGGCTCAATGTATCAGACAACATAAATTAAATTTGTCAAAAAACATAAATTACGAGCACACTCAAATTTACAGCGTGCAACGGTAAAATACATAAAATTTGCGGCAAATGAAAATTCACGGTAATCCTCTCGGGATTTTTTCCCTCCTCAACCGCGCGCAGATTTACACGCACTTACGGAGCGCAAAATTTGAAACACCACCTCTCGGGATGCGTATGTCCATTGCATAGGAGGGGGTGTGGGAGGAATGATGAGGAAAAATTATGAAAAGCCAGGGCCCTCGAACATAAGTCACCGGTCCCGTAATCGCGAAGCAAACGCTGCCCGGGCAATGAAATAATCCATAATTAGGCTTTCAGCCGACAAAGAGGGAGGTATTGGTCCTGCACCGGTGTATAAGCCCCGGGAACGTTTAATCCTGATTTGGCGCACTTCCCGAGAACCAACTTAAATCCAGCTCTTATTCTAAGCGCGAGCCTCTTGCTCTTGAACTCAATTACGAGGGAAAATAAAGAGGGGGGAGGGGGGGAACACCCCTTCCACGTCTCGGTTTGGTTAGCGCGAAATTCGTTTAAACTTTCAAGACTCGTGCCTCTCCCTCCTCCTTTTGCGGGGAGGAATCGAAAGAAGAAAGCGAAAGGAAGAGGCTGTCCCAAGGGATGGCCCTGATGAAGAGGAACGGCGATCCTTTGCTCAGCGGCACAACAGCAAAAAAAAACAGAGGAGCCGTGCGCGGAATACTAGACGGGCAGAGAGACACGTGACTTACCGCCGTGGTAGGACGAGGAGGTGGTCCGATGGACAGGCGGGTGCTGATGATGGTGGCCCGGGTGCACGTAGGCGCCGTTCTGGCAGTCGAGGTAGTGGCTCGGCGTGGGGCAGTACTGTTGCGGCTGTTGGCTCGGGCAGCATTGCTGCTGCTGGAACTGCTGGTGTTGCAAAAAGTGCTGGTGCAACTGATGCTGCTTCGCACAACTGTTTGGCGTGCCTGACTGCAACGGCGGGTGGCACCGGACGCAGCGAATCGGGGTGTCGCACGGGGGCTGAAACATTTTTTTATTATACGGTGTACTCGGATTTTGGGGGTGGCTTTCGATCGAATTGTTGCTAGATCGCGCTGATGGATATACCGTGCCTCGGGGACGATCGTGACATGCGAAGATTCGAGGTTTGGCAGACAGTATGGGGTCTCGGCGCTTGGATTTCCTTGGCTTCGGTTGGCAATGCGATATGAAACTACTCGCGCGGAAATAGGAGACGAAGGACGATTGACGGATCGGTCAGCTCCGCGATTCCCGAGTAATTGATAATGCAGGGGCTGTTGGACACCCGCCATCGCTCGAGAGATATGTTCATCTGCGCGCTCGTTGTTACTTTCATCGTTCCCTCCCTCTCTCTCTCTCTTTTGTTTGACTACAGAAACTTGTAACGGAGTAGGTATAAAGACAATCCGAGAGTCTCCGAATCAAATCTATTGCGTTCAACGATCCTTCACATTCAGTTGATCGGACCCACCCACTCGATCGATCAAGAGTCAAGCGTGGGCCACCCCCTTTGACAAAAAGACCACGAGCAATAACTCCACCACATCCCAATATCGAGTCGACGTTACTTCGGTTTGATTCGCAAAGACGACAATGGTATAGAAAAAAGAAAAAAAAACATACATATACCTGAATAGAATGCTGGGAGCGCAGGGACCTGATGGAGCCGGACGGATGGAGGGAGGGCACGCTTCCTCCGAAGCTCATGCTGGAGTTGGCTCGGCCACAGCCCACGGGGGTTGTCCATCCACCGCCACCTCGCAAGCTGCCTCCGTAGCCGGGGCCGATGGTCCCGTTCCAGGCAGCGGTCGAGCCGGCGCACTCGTCCACCAGCATCCTCCTCCTGCTGTCGCTTCAACGTGGCTTCAACGCGGGACTCGCTGCGACGAGGCCAATGGGCCGAGAATGACGAGGATTGAGACGAGATCACCGCCAATACCATGCCTACCGGGTGAGCCTACCGGCTGCGAATGCCAGTTATGCAGAAGCTGGTCTCCCGCCACCACCGTCGCCAGGGCACGATTGTGCTGCATTTTTACCTACGCCAACGTGCACGAGTATGCGTTATTGGGTGTACAAGGATGGTTATTTGCTTATCAATGATTGTGGCCGTACCTTGGCACTCTTTAATTTTTTTTTTTTTTTTTTTTTTTTTTTTTTTTTTTTTTTTTTTTTTTTTTTTTTTTTTTGTAGACGATACCGTGGTGTGGATTAGCTTCGAGAAATGTCTTGAATGGATGGAATCATTTGAATTTTACAAGTACTAAAATGCTTTAAGGGGAAAAAAATACCATGCCAAAAAGAAAATTAGAACCAAGCTGAAACTCGTTGAAACACCGAGTCAACGCAAGGAGGCTCTTGACTCCAACTAATTTCCCTACAATATATGCATGTTTGCTTTTTTAAAAAGCCCTCCATATCTGTTATATACATCTTCACAATTAGTGCGCAAGTTTTATGAAAAGTGCCCCACTATTTAATAAAAAAAAAAAGAAAAGAAGAAAAATACCGAGATATAGCTAGTTTACGATACGATTCGCGCAAAATAAGTAGAACAAGCCAGATATAGTCAGACGGTCTGACAAACTTTTGCGACAATACTACTGCCATTGAAAGCGCCCCCCGTGCGCGTCCCCTCCGCTGCAGTTCTACTTGCCGTTAGATGAGATTACAGACACTCACCGCGAAGTTGAGAAGCCCCAAACTACGTCACAAAACCTTATTGGTCCGTCTCGATGGGAGAACTGCGCCAACTACCATAGCACCCATAAATTACAGAGTACAGATAATATTTGCCCCCTGCGCTCGAACACCTCTCTTGGGTGCAAATTACCTGTGTGCTATGGTGCATCATCGCCACCGCTCTCTCTCTCTCTCTCTCTCTCTCTCTCTCTCTTTGATAGGCTTGACGAATTCGCGCGAATGACCTATGTATAGAGTAGAGAAAGTATGCTCTCACCGTTTGCTTTTACTGGCTAATGGTAGCGCGTCGACGTTGTTTCCCAATGAGCTGTCGATTTCCATCGTGGAAGGAGCAAAGGTGACGATCCACGCATACTGGAGTGATTTCGAGTCCCGCAGTGCCCCTTGTAACGGTGGGCATAGTTCAAGGGCGTGGTGTCTGGTGGTACATCGCCTGCAAGCAGAGAAAAGGGGACGCGAGCAAATGAGAAAAAAGGTTATGAGTCCAAAAAAAAAAAAAAAAAGAAAAAAAATAGATGGGGGCATCGAGTGGGTCGTGGAGGATTTCGGGTACTATGTGGCAGAGACGTTGGAGCCGAAATAATTGCTGGATTTTCCCAGACTCTGTCTACGTGCCTCTCCCCCTCTGGCTCGAGGCTGTAAAAGCTCCGTGGCACGTTGCGGGCTCCTTTTTCTATTTTGTTCTCAAGACGGAGGGAATACTCTTTGCCCTCCTGACGTGGAGCTGAGTGACTTGTGGATGAGTGTTGTTCTTTTTATTTTTTTACGTACAGTACGAGCGATTGTTTGTACTCAAAGTGACTGGATTAGCGCGTTAAAGATTCGTTGACGAAAAGTTTGTACCTTTGATGATTGGGATTTCCTGTTAGTCACGAGAAAATCAAGAGGGGAAAAAAAATTGTGCAATAAATTATCATTTTCCGTAGCTACGATGTCCTTGCCAAAATGAGGGGCGAAATATTAAACGAGAGGGAACTTATCAATGGGAAAAAAACCGCATCACCTCTCGCTCGGAGTTTTTCCCGAACTTTACAATCAAATAAATCAAACGGAGCGAGACGCGCGCAACCGCGTGAAAAATAGGCCGGGCGCCCTCAAAGCTCCGGGATAAGGTAATGGAAAAACCTACCAGTGAGGGAAATAAAATACGAAAAAAGTTATGTAAAAACGAGGGAAACTGTGTGGATTAAAGGGGAGAGGGAAAATAAACCAAGGGAAGAGCCCGGAAAGTTTCTCGCGACGAGTATATACATGTATATAGGGTGCGCGCTTGCTTAGGATTGGGCGTGAAAAATTTCCAGCCCAACTCTCGGAACGAAGCAAAGTTCGGCCGACGATTTCGTTTCCCCTTTCCCATTATTTCCGTCTGGAAACTTTACTTTACGCTCGTCGTTAGTTGTTTTTTGTTTTTTTTTTTTCACTCCCTCATATCGTCACTTTGCAAACAGTAGGGGTTTCTCCATGTCCGCTATCGCTAGTTAATTCAAATGAAGCGAAAAACCCCACAACAAACCCACCAATCACCAATTTCTCGTTTCTGTTTATCTTCACGCGGTAGGCCAAAAGAAGCAGAAACGAAAAGCAATATTAATCCGGATAAAAGCTGCCGGGCGGTATCTTTAATCGTATAGAGTGAGGGTTGTACCCCCCCGAAACACCGTTTGTGTACTTTTTGTCTTTTTATTTTTATTTTCCTTCCTCTTCCTCTTTCTTAATTCCACAAAAGTGCACCTTCACACCCAAGATAATAACAGTGAAAAACAAAAAAAACCCCAAGTACACACACACACACACACAGAGGGAGAGACAGTGTAGAGGTATGAAAAATGGGGGAGTGGGAAGCTTGGGCTTTTTAATCCATCGGAAAGCATCGGGCGCGAGAAACCCGAGCAGATGTCACGCTCATCTCCCCGGAGTTAATGTCCCGTAGCCTTGGGAAGCGAAAAAAAAAAGTCAAATAGAGTGTAAAAAGCGTGCATTAGCTATATATACGGTTGAAGTTGTACGGGTAATTTGGTGCCGAGTAAATCTCTCCGGCCACTCGCTTGAACAGGGGATGAAAAGTTCAAGGAAGATATCACCCGCTCCGACTCTGCGGACGAAGTTTTCGAAAAGAGCGCGTTTGTACAGGTATACGCTTGGATTATTCCGATGCAGGGCTCCGGGCGATATCTCGCGGGTCTCGAGATTGAATTCCATACAGCGCCCCGTGGCTACACCGCATACATGTATGATATCAAGGGGTGTCACTTGCCACTACGCACCAGTACCAAATGTACGGAAGAACTTGTAAAAACGTCCCATCCATATATACATGTATTTGTCGCTCGATCCAACTTATCGAAAGGACACAAAGACGAAAGCTCACCCTCTCGCGCTCGCGTGTAGGTACGTAACGTAACGAGTGCAAAATTAACGGATCGGCTCGAAAACTAATTAGTTTTTCGTTAGTGCTTAGGTGCGTTAATTCGATAAGCTCGTGCACCACCCCCGTCCCTGTGCAGAAAATTTTCAACGATGGAAGTACACTAGTGCAGGGAAGATGAATACAGCAGAGGGGGTGGGTGGGCGGTGCCGCCACAATTGTACGCGCACTAATGAATAAGTAAATTCGAGCCTTTCGGGAACAGTTGCAACGAAGGAGGGAGGGAAAGATCTTTGCGAGTAACAACGAGATTTAATATATAGGTGCATATACTTTGGAAAACCCTTATTACCACGAGGGGGGGGGGTTGTGTTGCATGTTTCAGATCGAGTTTCGAATCGTTGCGCACAGATAAACGGCACTATAGAGATTGAGATCAAAAGCTCGTATCTACTGTGGGTGCACTGATGACGATCATCCGAGGATGAAGGGGAAAAAAAAGGATAACCATCATGGTATGCCGTGCGCACACGCGTCTTTCGGAAAAATGGCACCCGCTCGTGGCGTCAATTGATAACGAGCCACTGCGCGCGGCAAACGATAAAATGGGCCATTTTTTTTCAGCACTGTAGTGTACCTTTTACACGCGTTGATTGGAGAGAGTTTTTTTTTTAATGGAAAATAAAACATGGAATTGAAAAACCGGAGGACAGGGTTGTACACAGAAGCGAGCGAGTCGTCATCCTGTGCAGGTATTTGTGTCATTGCTCCGTCCGATGGGAACGATTCGGTATCGCCAAGTGTCCTCGCTCACGGTGTACACGTAGGTATAGCAAACAGCCGAGACAAAAGGGAGGGACGAGGGATCCTCCGTATGTGTCGCCTGACCTCTGAATTCTGGACCCGGTTCCATTAACTGTGTAGGTATACCATGTGCTCCCACCCGTAGCGACGACGAGGCCAAGGAGGTGGAAGGTTGGCATCTCCGCGTGTCGGTGTAACACCCACACGAGGGTATAGGTGCGTTATTGATTTCGTCCCACGCACCCAGCCTCCCTTCCTCGTTCTGTAAACATTGCCAGCCTCCTCGTCGCCTACGCAGCACACCTCCTCCGCTCTCCTCGGAGCTGTACCGACAGACTCCCTATCGACATGTACATCCCTGAACATCGCCCCCCCCCCAGTTGTAAGGGGCGCGGAACGTTGCCGAGGAATCCGTATTTCGTTAGGTTTACCTTTATAGTTCTTTTCAACCATCCCCCGGTCGCTTCTTCAAAGGTGTGTCTTTTGTCTTGCGCCGCGACTTTAATGACGAGTGCGCTCCAAGCGCCACTCGTTTATTTCTTCCCCTCTCGGCTACATGTCGATGGGTAACGCGTGCGTAAAGGTACTTTCTTTTTTGCTACGTTTTAGCTTTCGGTTAGCTTGGAGCTCGTATATAGGTAAACGCTCGGGGATATGATAAATGCGTGAGTGGGTACGTGGGATCATTGGGGGGGGGAGGGGGATTTGGCGGCTTCTCTCGAGCTTACAGGCGTTTTTTAAACTTTTCTTTGAGCTCCGAGCTAAGTGTGTGTGCCCGCCGCGGGGCCTTACCGTTGCTCTCGATGATACCGAGGTGGGCGCGAGAGGGACATTAATAACTGTTCGATGGAAAAACCTACTTCGATCTCTTTTTGTTCCTTTCTCTGTTAATTTGATGAGCTAATTTTTTTTTTTCACACTCGCTCTAGTTACGAGGGTAGTTGGAATCAACTGGTTTCAATGA